AGTCAGTCACAGTAGGACAAATATTGTATTAGTCTGCTATTGTAAGAAGTCAAGGAAAGGTTTATACATAGAAGGAAACTTTCTTTGTTGGTTACCAGGGAGGACAGAGGAGGGGAGAGGGGTCAAAAAGAGTTCAGGAGATGTTTCTGGTTTGAGTTCTAGAGTTCTCACAGCAATAATTTCAAGGGTTCCTCTAGCATCCACAGGTCTAGAAAGTCTGGCTTCCATGAGAATTTGAAATTCTCTTCTGCATCTTCCTCATTTTGATCAGTATTATTCTGAAGAATCTCATCAAAATCTGCAGTACTGAGTCAGGTACCATCCATTTCTTTTGATCTCATGGCAAATGAAGTTGTTTTTGGAGACAATTAGCCACACATTCCATTTCCTGCCTCTATTGCTGACCCTTCTGCCTCTGTTGTGTAGGCATATTCTTAAAATACAAAAAGCCAAATTCTTAAAGAACTTTTGAAAAATATTTGGCACATAATAAAGATTTCTAAAATTGAGAAATTTTATGGAAAGTATAAGTCATTTAGGTCGAATTTTATTGCATCAAATGTATTACCATATATTAATTTGTTATTCAGAGCCTGGGTAGTTTTCTAAGTAGGTAAAGGATATATTGCTAGTTATGAAATCTTTAAATTGTCTTGGATTTAATAACTATCTTTTTTTTATTATTTATTTAAGGTTTTGGCTGAAAAGGTTCATATGAGAGCCCTGTCCATTGCTCAGAGAGTCCTGCTCCTTCAACAAGGTCTTAATGACAGATCAGGTGAGATATTTATAGATTTTTAAGTCACACTTACATGTTTTAAGAAACAAGTATCCTAAATTAGGTGGAGTAAACCTATCATTTCCATAACCTGGCAAAATCTATGTTGGTGTATATGGTATTGAAAACATTTCCTGGGGTTAAAGATTTTGTTACTTGAAAGGGACAGTGTGAAATGGTGGCATCAGAGGTCCTCTGACTTCACAAGGTGGGAGGATAATCACCGTCAGCCCCAAGCTGATTCCTGTGAGGGGAAGGGTAAATATATCTCCATTCTCCAACCGTACACACCACACTTCCCCACAGCACTCCACTTCTCTGCTGGGTCTGGTAATTTGTTGCAATGTCCACACACAATTTACAAACCATATTCCCAATTATGGAGTTTATTTGGGAAGTAACAGGTTACAATTCAGGATCAGGATCAACTTGGAAGTAATATGAACAGCTCAGGAGGGTAGGGTGTCCGTCAATCAGGACACCTTCCAACCTCTCAACTCTTTTTCTTTTTCTTTTCTTTTTTAATATATTGTGATTTAGGTGAAGATTTACAGAGTAAATTCACTTTCCATACAGCAGTTCACATATACTTTGTCTCATGGCAAAGTTACCACAGTGCAACAGCTCCCCTCCCACTTCTTCCCCATAGTTACCTCTTCCCTATGTCTGTCCTTTCATGGCCTCCTGCCCCCTGAGCTGTCTCCCTGTGCATAAGCAGCCCTTCTTTCTCCCATGATTGTTCTCTCCAAGGAGTGTATTTACTTGAGGTAAATGTTCAACTAATATGCCTGTCTTTTGTTTGGCTGGAAACCACAGGTGTGGGTTCAATTCCAGACCTGAAGGGCAGCTAGGAGCCATAGTC